ATGCACCAAGCCTATTACCGACGGCTTGAGCATGGCTTCTTGCGTCGGCGAGATATATCATTACTGTGTTCTCAAAACTGAGTAGATAGGAACAAGGCATAATGCATACAACATAACTATGCATTCTATTGATGATTCAAGGTCTTAAGTTTAAGTAATGGTGAGTGGTGTCGTTCCCGGAAGATTTTCCTGCGTGAGCAAGATCCTCTTGGGGCGATGTACTCCTGGAATTAGACAAAATAGGTATTTTTTACTCGAATATATTATGCTACACCTGATCAGGATCGGTCATTGACTCGTGGGCAAGGTTGGTTAAAAAGGAAATGAAACACCTCGCTGGGTTTGTGATTACTGCAAATGCAAGGACAACTGCCAGACACCGTAGCTATCGACAGCGATGCCGAACACAAGGCAATACCCCGGCCCCCTCATCCACCATGGACGAATCACTGGGTTTGGTGACTGCCTTTAGCGAAACATACTTAGCGAATTATGTATTGGAATAATGCTGGAACAGTTCAATTTGGCAGCAAGAAGTTGGATGAACGGGAGGTGAGAAAGGGAGTTATGTGCTATACGGTTCTTCGTGGAAGGGTAGCAAGACCTGCTGACCAGGGTTTGCTGTACTTGGATAACTCGACGAAAGGAAAGTTCTTGCAACAGTTTGAGTGGAATATTTGGAGGGAGTTGGCAACGTGATCGCGAGCTCGTTGTCGAGAGCAAGCCTTCCAGAAGATATTGGAAAGGATGCGCTGACTGACCCGAAAGACGGGTCACGAAATAGGTCACGAAGTATTTATGGGTGGTAGCCCAGGGTTATTGGGAGGCATCCAAAATTGCTGCAGCCTGTTGTGACGCCGGTTGTTTACTGCGCCTATTACTTCGAAGCCGGGTGCACTGGCGATATTGTTGCCGCCAGCCCGAATTACGCAGCCCCAGAAGATCACGGAGGTGTGCGAGCTGCCGAAAACGTAGTGGGTTCAACTACAGCACCACATGAGTGTGTAAGGACAATGAGCGAGCGAGACGATCTGGGTACGTTCTCAGTCGAAGAGGACCGTGATCTGTCGTAGGTACCTTACGCTCGGGCCGTACTGTAGCTGAGGATAGGATATGTAACTTCTTCGATTTCACCAAAACCTTTTCTTCAGGTCGAGGACCCCACCAGTCGCCGTACAGATACACTGTCTGGTTCACTTTCCCCTCCTATCTCAGAAGGACCCCTTGTTGTACATTGACATAACCCGCAAAGAATGAAAGACGCCCCCCCTGCCCCCTGCTTTCTGCCCCCCCGCCGAAACTCTCTCCAAAAAGAAACTCTCTCCAAAAAAAAACCGAAGAATTCATGTACCCAGGATGAGAGGTCTTTGTGTAGAAGGAACCAGTGGCCGTGCTGGATGGGCTGGTGCCCTTGCTGGACTAGTGGACGCTGGAGGTCAGTTGAAGTCAATGACAGAGAGATACAGTTGCGGGGACCGCATCGGTGCGGCAAACATAATTATCAAAAAAGAGAAGCGTGGCAAATCGTCGTCACGCTTCTTGTTCGGCCAACAGTCACCGAAATGGCGGCTAGCGGTGGTCTATGCGATCGATCCCAAGAAAAAAACTCCGCAAACTCCGCTGGAGCTAGTTACTGAGGCGAACGCACTACGGCTGGTGAGCGGAGCCGACATCAACATTCGCGCGAAGCCTAACGCGTTGATGCACCTGTGTTGTGTGGTCGCTAAACTGGCGACCGACAATCTCCCGGCTGAGCAGAAGAAGTTAATGGGACGGAAGACAATACAAGACCTACGTAGCAGAATAATTAAGGCCACTGCAGGATCATTCGTCGACCAGTTTACAGAGCATGAAACATCAAGGATCATGGAAGAAGTGGACTCAGGTCGACTAAGGCTAACTCTGGACAACCAATTCCATAACCTCACTGACCGGTCGCCGGCTACGGAAAACTCGACTGAAAACATCTCCGCTGGTGTAGACTTTACTGAAGTCCAGCACACACTTATTTTTACGAGGGACTGAAACCTCTGGTTCTGCTGACCAAAAGACAACGTCGCCAGGCGCCTCTGTGAGGAATACGACCGGGGACTTATTCGAACGGTCGGAATAGGGTACTAGAGAGGTGAGGTTGAGAGCTGAGGATTTGGCTTTTGCGGTTGAAGAACGGAGAGCACGTGCAGCAGCAGGCCGAGCTGTAAGGTTTCCTTGTGGGCAGGGCAGGGCAGGGCGGGGCGGGGGTTAAACCAGGCCCTAAGGCAGGGCGAAGACAGACTTGCTGAAGAAGAACGCTACAAGAACAGCGACCATCTAGGAACATCTCCCCAACTTTCGAACCGGTCAAGTACAGCAAATTCTGGTGATCAGTCTTTATCGAAAAAGGAGCAGCACACAAGTAGTCTGCCACCTTTCCACCAAGAACCGTATAGCCTACGACTCTCATCTCGTGTGTCTCACCTCTGTTGACATTCGTCCAACTTCTTTCTACCGAATTCAATCGGAACACTTCCCTGCTGTTGTCTCTGCACCAATTGATTTATCACTCGCCTCGGTTGATCGAGAGGTCGAAGATTTCAGGTGCTGGAGATGTGAGGGTGCAGACACACGTCCATAGGGCATCGGACGGTCTGTGGGTGAGAAATCGAACTGTGTATCATGAAGTATTTCTGGTGGCCCGGAGTTGCTAGGGACATAGAAGATTTCTGCAGGGACTATTTGCCATGGGTCGTGCCACACGCTGCCTGGTAGCGGGAGTAGTCAGTGCTAGGAGGGCAACCACGGTGGCAGAGATGTTTAGGGACTGTTTAATGGTAGAGGCATGATCAACGGCGGCTTCGAGGGCCTGGGTTCCGAGTTACGCAGCCCCAGAAGATCACGGAGGTGTGCGAAAACTACAGCCCCACATGAGTGTGTAAGGACATGAGCGAGCGAGACAACGAACATCTGGGTACGTTCTCAGCCGAAGAGAATCGAACAGAAATCGGGGATCCAGATGGAGGAAAGTCTATTGTAATTTGGAGGATACTGGTTGGTGATTGGGCAAGTAATTTGCCTGGTAAGGTGATATTGAGGTCGCTTTTAATTTCAAAGCTTTGTCCTACTCGGGACAGTACTTTTCTGTTGTGCGAATTATTTCTGTTGTTCTGCACATTAGCACGTCTCTGTAACGGAGGCTCGGCTGGACGCCGTGTTCACGCTTCTGGTAGGGGACCGGAGAGTCGCCCTACCATCGATGTTTGATGTTGGTATCGATTTGGTGGCGAGCAGGTCGGTGATGCTGCCTTTAATGGTTACTCTTATTGGGTTTTCTGAGAGCCAGCGTAGCATGTCGCAGTAGTTTTCGCTTCCGTAGAAGTCGTCGAAGATGACTAGTTCTTGTCCTTCATATCCGTCCCACCGAGGGCCGCTTGGTTTTATGTAGTAGTTTGGGGTTACCGATCTTGCGGTGTAGGATTTGCCGGTTCCAAGCGGTCTCCTATGACGGTCGGCTTGGGTCGGGCGAAGTAACTGGTAGGCGGTGACTGCGCTGTGATGGCGGAACATCCACCTCTGGTTCCTCTTCCCAGAGCGTCGCTGTGCTTAGATGTTGCCACCATCCTTTTTCGTGGGCGCCATCTTCGTGTGGTGTTCCGACTCTTGTTTCTTCTTTTGTGCAGTATTTGATGGTGCTTGGATGTCTTTGCATATTTCAACATGGGTTAGTCACCCATTCCTTTGCGCACGTTTTCGAAGCTTCGCGGGTTTGCGAAGTATAAGAAACCTTGGAAGTGTAAGCGGCCTGTCATCGGACGCATTTCTTGATGGTGTGTATTTATATGTCGCGGGCGCGGGGCATTTTTCAGCGGAGGCATGTTTGCGCGTGTTTGTATGCACACACTTTTTTATAATAGCGGTAACTGTTGGAGTTTAGGTTTATAGGGTTTATAGGGTTTATGGGGTCTTTGTTCAGTCAATCGGAAACCATATGATGTTAGTAGTCGTTCACTGGTTTTAAAACGTTGCTGTAGTTCGCTGTGGTTGTCGACAGAGATGAATATGTCATCTTGACAGGATCATATAAACTCATTGAACGGTGGCTGTCGTAATATGGTTCCCATCGAGTGAGGGAAGTGTTGGTCGCGCCCATCGGCATGCACGCAATAGTTGTCTCGGTGTTTGAAGGCATACGCGCCAACTTGATCAGCTGGAAGTGGTATCGCATGAAAAGCTTTGGTCTATTTTGGCGAGTAGCGGTTGTTGTGCACCCCACGTAATTATCGGCCATGATTGTATGCTAGGAAAGCGTCCATGGTCATCAATATACAGTGGTCGGCAGTGGTGGGTCTTTTACCACTCGCGTCGGTAGTAGTTAGGTTCAGTAGTCAGTTTGCGTTGGTTCAGTAATGGTTCTCGTCAATGACTTTTAGGTCAGGTCGAGGACCCCACCAGTCGCCGTACAGACACACTGTCTGGTTCACTTTCCCCTCATATCCCAGAACAACCCCTTGTTGTACGTTGACATAACCCGCAAAGAACGACACCCGGACAACCCGGACAACCACAGCGCAAACCGCCACCTCTGCGCCTCGGCAGCTCGCCCCCATCGTCGCCGTGGAGCACGGTCGCGATCGACTTCTGCGGACCACCAGCGCCACCGGCATGCGGTACGTCCTGGCCGTCACGGACCAGTTCACCAAATGGGTCGAGCTCACGCCCACCCCGGGCCAGACCGCCTCACGGCGGTGAAGGTCTTCTACGAGCGGATCATTTGCCGCCACGGGTGCCCGCTGCGCGTCCTCACCAACAGCGGACCGCAGTTCCGGTCTGCCCTCGTCGCCCTGCTCTGCCAGCAGCTCGGCATGAAGAATATCTTCTCATCTGCCTACTACCCGCAAGACGACGGGTACGCCGAGCGTCTCATGAGGACGCTCAACAACTCACTCGCAGCCCTCTACAACGGCGACAGAGCCCGGTGGGACTCGTACGTCCCACGGGTCATGTTCGTACGCGTACAACTGCACGCAGCACAGCCCATACGAGTTAACGGCTGGGCGGGACCCCCGCTGGCCCGGCGAACTATCGCCCCCACCGCCCGCCGACGGGTTCCGCGAAAGGGGCGCCCCAAAGTTCCCGGAAGATGGGCAGGAGTTTCGAGATGTGGACGGTGCGGACGTCGTCCCGCGCCCGCCGGACGCGGTATGTCACGCCGCACTGGAGGCGTTCCAGCACAACGGCGGGTCGGACCGTCTTTGTTTTCTACGGGTGGGTACCATCGTTCCGGTTCCGTGTTGCTGGTTACGATGAATTTGTCTGCTAGCAAGCCTGTAGATGATCCTTTTATGGGTACTTCAATTGGGTTCTCCGAAAGCCACCGTAGTATGTCACAATACTTTTCCGTTCCGTAGAAGTCGTCGAAAATTACTAATTCTTGTCTGGTGTCCCGATGCCACCAGGGGCCACTGGGTTTTATGTAGTAGTTGTCGCAGATGGATCGAACTGTGTGGGATTTGCCCATGCCGGATGGTCCCCATAGGACGATGACTTGTGGTTTTGGGCGAGCGAATGTAACTTTTTTTAGTTGTTTTTGGCATGCCGCTATGGCGCCGTGGTGCTTCAGCATCGAGTCAGGTTCTTCCTCCCACAGGGTCGCGATGCTAAGCTTCTGCCACCAGCCTTTTTCTTTCG